CTTTCATTTAATATTAATATATTAACTATATAATTTGTACATATGCCTCGGATGAGTTCGAATCCATTTAATAAACAAGCTCGATTAGTTGTTTGTTTGAATCGACTCGTTTAAGTAAACGAACGAGTCTAACTAAATTGAGTTGTGCTTGCAAACAATCGATTCGAACAACAATTTAGACAAATGTAGTCATTACTCGATTTGAACAATTGTTCTAGGCAAACGGAACCATTATAACATATAACTTATCTAAATGTAACCATTATAATGTACAATTTATCTAATCATTAGTCTGTCCTATGTCTTAAACGTTGCATGTAGTTTTGTTTAAAGAATACATAAGACAACTTATCTAATTTGTGCATGTGTTGGAATGATCATAACCTTACCGTTGAACATTATCTATGTCAAAAACTTTATTAAATTTCGTATTACTACATGATAGTTGATACATAAATTGTCCTTTTTTTTTTTACAATGAAAGAGGCGAAATGACCAGAAATAAGGAAAAGCTACATGAACACACTACGTGGATGAGCAACGCCCGCTAAGTCATTTTCAACCAGACCTTCATCCCATTTGGTGGATAATACAACCTTATATATCGCTGCTTGTGCAGCTAAATGATCGACTGCATATTTAACTTCTCTATAGTTTTGGCGAATCACCACTTCTCAATTGCGCCTCAAGAAATCCCTTATAGCCAAAACCAGAACCCTATGCATCCACGTAAGTTCTTCATTGTTCAAAACCATTTTGAACAATAATAGAATTATCAACCTCGATTAAGATTTTACGACCTCCAATCTCTCAAGCAAGTTGTAAACCATGGTATAAACTCCAAAGTTCTGCCACGACAATTGAGCAAAAGCCAATAAGACCTCCCCCAATCTCCCAAGCAAGTTGTAAACCATGGTATAAACTCCGAAGTTCTGCCACGACAATTGAATAAAAGCCAATAAGACCTCCCCCTGCTGCTAAACTCGAAACTCTATCAAAGGTCCCATCAGAATTGACCTCCCACCAGGCCGACTCCAAAGGCAATTATTTGATCGGTTGCCACTCTACAAAACATGCTTCTCCCAACCACCCATGCCGCCTATTAGATGAAATAACAACCTCAATGCCCACGACATTCCTTATTGCTTCACCCTCACATCAACACTACAAACCTTCCCTTGAGAAATTTACATGGTACGGGCGTACTGAATCTTCTAGGCAGCCACTCCAAACTAATGTTTCAATTTGGCAATAGAAAAATGTTGGTTCAATTTAGGATGAGTACGAAAACTACACTTGAGTTGTAGCATGATCATCAGGGAAATTAATTATCTTTCAAAAGTAGAAGTACTCCACAGATAAAAAGAAAAAAGTGCCTGAGAAAATCTTCTAGCACAAAATAATAATTTTTTTGAAAGGAAACAACGTACTAAATCATGCTTCCACATTTCTCATCCCTTTAACACTTGAACATTTTGTGCCATAAATTCAGAGAATAGGCTAACACACACACACACACACACACACACACACACACACAACATTCTCTCTACATAATAAAATTGAACATTGAATATAGAACAAAATGCTAGTCAGTATCTTCCGGAACAAGAATGAAGCAAAACTGATGCATTTCACACCTAAAGCAGCCACAGACAAAAGTGTATATGAGGAATCCAAAAGGAATGACAACAGTTCTCAAACAAAAAACTACACTTCGATGACAATTATTACACTAAAAAATTGTTATGCTTTTTGTCTGAATATAAACCAGAAAATCTAGTACAGTGAGAGAAAAATGCGCTCCAAGAGGTTCTACCCAGATAAGCAAAGACTGATCTTGCTATTGAGTTAACAGATTCTGAAGCAAGATTAGGGCTTGAATGCAGAAAATGCTACGACTGAGTTGTGTCCACCAAACCCAAATGAGTTTGAAATGGCTGCATTAGTAATGAACACGAATAAATTAGTGTTATAAACTAGGACCCCGCAAAATTCATCATTTGACATTAGGATAATTACAACAAAATCACTCTTTAGATTTAAACTAGAAACGAAAGATGCAACAAATCATCTAACATTACAAATACCCCTTAGGGTCTGCGCTTTTTTCACAAATACTTTTCTATTGAGGTACCATCTGTCACATTGAATCAAACATCATAGGGGTTTTTGTAATCTTGAAAGAGTGCTGGATTTGTATTTGGAAATTGGGTGCAAATGAAAAAGGGTTTTGTACTTAACCCTTAAAACGGGATATCCCAACTGAACTGTAGGAAAGTGCAAATGCAAATAAGTTAAAAAGCATTCTTACCAACATTGACTTCGTGTTCCTGCTTTCTGTTTGCAACAGTGTCAAACTCAACAGAAGGCTCTGGGTTCTGCATTTGTAGTTTACAAATTCATAAAAAAAGCTGTCAATAGTCCATCACGACTAGTGACTAATCATAAAAGTTTCTATGAGCAATAATAGACCCAATGATTCTGAATGTGCTGCTTGTTTAAACAAAGCACATAAACATAATACTGGAAGTATTCACATTTGACATTGCACATACGAGCCACACACACACACAAACTATCAATCTGTACTTACAAATTGATTTATTGTGGGATGCAGCCATCCTGTTGTAATGGCTTTCACTGTCGCAATGGCTTCCAAACCACCAGCAGCGCCAAGGCAGTGTCCTATCATTGACTGGAGAAAACATGAAAATGTGAGAAGTCCATAGTGGAACACAATTAACATGTCACATGCTCAATCAAAGAGCATCCATGTGTGTGCGCGTGGGTAAGGCCTTGTTTGGTAGATAGTGGTTAGATGTTAGTTGTTAGCTGATTGTAACAGCTGTTTTGACCAGCGGATTGTATCAACTGTTTTGACCAGCAGATTGTAATAGCGGTTTTTAAAAATATGTTTCGTAAAAGTAGCTTATTGATTCGTAAAAATATATTTAGTATTATTGCTTATTTTTTTTATATAAATATACATTGTTTATATTCCTTTGTTTATTTTATACTCACAAAAATTATTTTTTGATATAATACGTATTTTTAAATTATTTTTTATATTAAAAGTAATAAGTGAATAAAAATATAAGTTAAACTTAACAGTATATCATTTTATATTTTTATAGTAAAAGTAATAAGTGAAATAAAAATATAAATAAATCAAACTTAAAAATAAATGGTTTCAAATACTAAAATAATATTAAAAAAAATAAATGACACAAATAATACTCTTGTTGTTATCTTCCAAGTATAAATATAAGTAATTGCCACACTTAAAATATGATGGTCTAAATTCCCATCCCCCTACCCCCACTAAAAATAAGTAAATAACCGTAGAACAAGAGTTCATCAAAAATGAAAGACTGAATGCATTGTTAAGGGGATAATTAAATGCAAGTATTAAATTTCCAGCCGCTATCTCAAATGCTCCTCGGAGAAGCGTTTCGAAAAACAGAGTTTCAAGTAAAAAACTGATATAGGAAAGCTGAAAACTAAACAACATTTTTTAGCGGGTCAACAAGTCGCAATAGCTAACTTGGTCAAACAGCCAAAAAAGGCTTGAAAAGCTAATAAACAAACGAGGCCTAAGTGAAGTGGATGCCAGCTCACACAAGCAAGACAGCTGTACAAAACTAAAACCTGAAGCAAATCATTTTACTGTGAAATGAAGAAACACTATCAACAAGCTACATGCTAACATGAACAGATAGATGTACACAAAAGGGGAGAACTTCACTTGGGGCCTTACCTTAGTTGCGTTGATTTTTATCTCTGAGGTGTTATTGAATACCTTCTTAATAGCATTTAACTCAGCTAGATCTCCCACTATAGTGGAGGTTGCGTGGGCATTAATGTAGTTAACCTGAAAGAGTATATGGATCAAATTATTAAGATACTTAATTATGTATTCAGCCCCTTTTGTACTCTTAAAGATGACAAAAATCACCATACTTTTAAGTGATTCTAGACCAGCAAAAGAATTCAAAGGCTCTTATACAACAGTATGACCTATTTCCAGATTTTGGTATCAGCAGAAAATTAGCAAAAGAATTTTCATTTAAAAAATTTCAAAATGATAACGAAAAGGCAGGATGCAACATTAATGTTTTCGAAGCATGCTGTAGACAACATACAGATTATGA